AACTTCTTCATATTTTACTAATATTAAAGTTCACTTTTCATTCAGGAAGTATGACGCTGCGCTGTCAGTACGCTTCTCCATGTTTGTGATTGGTCGAATGCTCCAAATACCACCCCTTTCATGTGAACGCGCACCTAACTAGATAGGGCACGGCTGGTTTGAGCGATCCACTTGATAACCCGCGTCGTAGTACCGTTTAGCGAGAGCGCGTATGTTTTGGATTAGGCCAACCGGCTAACTCAAACATATCCAGGTTAGATTGAACCAGCTTCGTAGTACAGGCCTCTGGTCTCATTAAACACACTCAAAGCAACTTTAACTGACCTTGAAGCAGGCTGCTGTGTTTGTAAATGCTTTGGCTAAACTTGGTGTATGACTGTGTTGTGATTGTGTGTTTTTTTTATTGTCTGTAATGTAAAACTGTCTGAAACTGTGCTGTTACCATTCTTGGGCCAGGACTCTCTTGAAAAAGAGATTTTTAATCTCAATGAGACCTATCCTGGTTAAATAAAGGTAAAATAAAAATAAATAAATATGACAATAGAGTCATGTGCATAAACAACAAAAACACTTGCAGCTGAAAACTTTTTAAGAATAGGCATAATGTTCTAACAATGTTATCAAAAACATCTTAAGAAGGTTATCAAAAACATCTTAAGAAGGTTATCACCAAACATTTTAAGAAGGTTATCACCAAACATTTTAAGAATGTTTTTAGAGAACGTTATTCTACCTTTCAGAAGAACATTCTGGGAACCAAACTAAAACTTCCCGCTGGAAACATTCCTAGAATAATGAATGGTAACATTCTTAGAATGTTTTTAGAACCAAAAATGTCTAGCTGGGAACTCACACATGCCACCGCAAACAATATCTGCTTACAGATTATCATGAATTACGTGCTTGTTTGTTTTTTTCAAAAGGAAAATATGGTGACATCAGATTTTTTAAAACATCCTTTTCAAACAAATGCAACAAGTTTGTTATTTAAAGCGCTCTAGAAATAAATCTGACGTTGACCATGACCGTGTTAATATTTCACATCACAGGAACGTTTTATAAAAAAAGAATAACCTCCTGAAAACATTATCCGAATGTTGCTTTGAAAATATTCTTCTTTTGTTATCATGTAACATTGAGGGAATGTTTTAGAAAACTTTTAGAAACTTCTATAATATGTTACTCCAACAACCTCCAAAAAACATGTTAGGGTTCAAATTTGTTGCAGGCAAAATGTTCCACCTTTGTTAACATATCAAATTAAAGGTGAGGTATGTAACTTTGGAGAAACCAGCTTGAGTGCGCTATAATTTGAAAATAAAAATCTGCCACTTCCTTACAGAGCCCCTCCTCCAACGCACACAAACGCGCACATGACCAATGAGGGCATGAGATAAGTTTGTGCACAGATGGAAGGCTGACAGGCAGGTAGGCCATCCAGTTATTTTAGCCGGGCCGGCTAAAATGATTGGTCGTGCTTTTTACAGCGCCACAGCTTCCACAGATGACATTTTTGTATGTATTTATTGTCAAAGCATTTAATATATTCATTGCTATAGGGATGTTAAGAGCATTCCATGGAATATAACAAAAAGTGTTTCTGAAATAAATTACATACCCCACCTTTTAAAGGAATGTTTCATAAAAAACCTTCTGTGATCTCAGACCTCAATAACATCCTCAAAACATCCTCTGAATGTTGCAGTTAAAACGTTATGTCATAGTTAACCTTAAACCTTAAAGGAACATTATTTGAAATAATAAACATCCTCAAAAGGTTCTTTGAACATCAGATTCAAACGTTTCTTTAAAACATTATTAGAACTTGAAGGTAACGTTAGCCAAAGTTGTGAGAAAGTTCCCTGCTAGCTGGGATGCCCAAGGACACACCAAATCAGTATTTTGACTGCAGGTACTGGGGATCTACCTCCTAAACCAAAGTAATCCCATAACAAGTATAAGGGCAATGCCCAGTGGAAGGGTGGTGGCTGTGATATGGTTCGGAAACTTCAATATGTGCTCAAGGTCAACCAGCAGTTGCCAGAGGTCACGTTGCCTGTAGATGTTCTTGTTGCGGCTTTCGGCTCCTACCCAGCACTTATAAAGGTGATGGTATGCTTGGAAGATTTGGCCCACTTTGCCAACTCAACTCCTGCACTGATTGCTTCAGGAATCGTCTTCAGGACCTGACTATCGTCCTTCACCTAGTGCCTTTGGGCAGCAGCTTAGGGTGTGCTTCAGGGTTCCTCACTTGGAGCACAGTGGGCTTGGTGACTCGTGTGCAGAATAGATGGGCTTCAAAGCACATTATATTTAAAACTGGCAAAATATGGCAATATTACCTAGCAGGAAGTAAGCTATTTTGGTTACATTGCTTATATTGGATTTGCAAAATGTTGCCTTGATTGTACACGACATGATCAGCTTCCATTGTTCAATAAAATGTACAATGTGAGTGCTTGCTTTCTTCCAGGTTCCCAGGGGGCATAGCAAAACTGGCTAAGTACATCCATGACCGTGGACTGAAGCTGGGAATCTATGCAGACATGGGCACTCACACATGTATGGGATACCCTGGCACCACGCTGGATAAAATCGATATTGATGCCCAGACCTTTGCTAGCTGGGGGGTAGACTATCTAAAGTTTGACGGCTGTTCCTCAAATTCTGTAGAACAAATTATAGGTAAGAGCATACTAACCTATTGAATAGCATTGACTGAAATCTTTGAAAACCTTAAAAGTACAGAAGCCACAAGAGATCGTACACTAAGCAAGTGTTTTCTTGTGTCACAGGCTACCCTCTGATGTCCAAGGCTTTGAATGCTACAGGCAGACCTATGGCATACTCCTGTAGTTGGCCTGTCTATGTAGGAGGCCTTCCCCCTAATGTGAGTGTCATTCCAATGATGGTCAACTCAAGCTGTGGGGTCACTTTGACTTGAATAGAACCATCACAATGTTCTGACAAAGACGCGCTAAAGGCAGTTGCTGCACTTAAATCAAAAACAAACAAAAAATGTAAACTTTACTCACTGTTCTTGATCAAATGATAAGCATTGGTATAGGTTTTTCATCGTTCTTTAGGAAAATGCGCAATATATTTTTGCGCACAGCTTTAAAGTAAATTATACTTCCTTGGTCCTACCAGGTCAACTACACTTTCCTTGGTGACATTTGTCACTTGTGGAGGAATTACTATGATATCCAGGACTCATGGGACAGTGTACTTGGTATTGTTGAGTGGTTCTCCAACAACCAGGATGATCTGCAGCCGGCTGCGGGGCCTGGACGGTGGAATGACCCTGACATGGTATGATGGGTTTGTTTTCATTATTGATCTTACAAAACTGATAATGAGGCAATATATCCTGGAATATTTTCCACTGTGTAGCCCTTTTAACCACAGAAAGATGTTGCTTTTTAAAGTTGAAGATGGTGCTTTTCAAAACGCTGTTGAAGTCGAGTCTTGTGTCGTACGTAAAACAAGACTAAAACAATGAATGCATTCACAGATGAGTTTACTGCCTTGTGGCCGAAATGTTAATGACCAAACCACTCTTTTCCTTTTTTGCTCTTCTTTGCCTTACTGTATTGTTGTTCTCTCTTTATGCCTCTGATATCTGTCCTCAGCTCATCATTGGAAACTTCGGTCTCAGTGTGGACCAGGCCCGCTCTCAGATGGCTCTGTGGGCTATAATGGCTGCACCTCTCATCATGTCAAATGACCTTCGAAACCTGGACAACAGTGCCAGGACCATCCTGCAAAACAAAATGGCTATTGCAATAAACCAGGACCCCATGGGAATCCAGGGAAGACGCCTATTGCAGGTCATTATCATTATTGAGACAGATCGGATTATATATAATGACAAGGCTTAGTAAGGAATAATGTGCAGAAGGGCGGTCTTTAATGAAAAAAGACCACTGTGATCCTGACACAAAGGGGTGGGTGTTCTTATTTCATTAATGATCGCCCTTCTGCACATTTTCCCGTTTATTACACCGCTACATACTAATGAATCCGACACATTTAATCCCAATGTTGATTTAAAATGATTTAATGGATTTCAAAATGATCATATTACAGCTGAGAAAAGTTCTGTACCAACGGCTGGAACTGTGGCAACAGCAAAGTAACTTAAAATAACAGCAGAACTGATTGAGGTTTTCTGTAACTGTCCAAGTCTGTTCACATTTTCTTTCAATTAACTAGTCTTTAAACACTGCAGGAGCCCATACGGTGTTACGGTTAGTGTTTACTTCCTGTCTTTTTTCTTCTACTGTTCCCTTTGGTGTTTACTTCCTGTCTGTCTTCTTCTGCTGTTACCTTTAGTGTTTACTTCCTGTCTGTCTTCTTCTGCTGTTACCTTTAGTGTTTACTTCCTGTCTGTCTTCTTTTGTTGATTTCTCTGACGTCCAGCTCTCTGTTTTTTATCAACTTACCTTCTCTTGCGCTCTTTTTCTTTTCTATACTGGATGCACTTTAGCCATCATGAATCCAAAATTCCGTGCTCACCAAAATATTCATTTGTATTCCTTGGTGTTGTCTGATGGAGAAAAGGAATGTTTGTAGTCGACAGTTGATGTTAAATAGACCGGACATCTTTCTGCGCATTGATATGACGGCCCATTCTGTAGACCCTTGATCTTTCTTAGCAACGGTCGGTTCTCCTTAGCAGTGGTATGTTAGTGAAAATTAAGAACACTTGAATGTCCTAATTGAAATTCGGAATAGAGTATTCAACTAAGCCGTATAATACACAGTTCACAATAATAGACTGATGTTAATGATGTAGAACAACAAAAGGTGGGAGGACTTTTTGGGATTTGGAGTCAAAGTTTGGCACCCACAAAAATCAACAAGGGTGTCTTGCCTAAGAAACAGGTTCAGATGTTATATTTTCTGTGTGTGTTGTCACACAGGAGAAGAGTCATATTGAGGTTTACTGGAGGCCTCTGTCTCAGTCAGCCAGTGCCCTTGTGTTCCTGAGTCGACGGACAGACATGCCCTACCTCTACCACAGCTCTCTGGGTAAACTCAGCTACGATGCTGGCAACTATGAGGTTCGTACACCCTTTCACGTCTTATCCTTTGTATCATATTTGTCCTAAAATTATTTTTTCTCTATTATCTCTATTTTCAAAAAAAGAAAAATAGTTTATTATTTTTCTTTTTTTGAAAATTATGATAGTTCATTCATTTTGCGGAAATATGGAGAAATCCTTTGGCATTGGTAGGCAAACATGTATATATTTGCAGTAAAGATTCTCCCACTCTTTTTTTTTTTTTTTAGTTATCATTTTTAAATGTTGTATTTTGTTGAGAAATATTGTATAAATTGTTTTACTCTTTATCGTTGTTTTTGTGTCTCTATACTGTTTGCAATAGTGACATTTCTCACTTGGATTAACAACGTACTACTATCTGTTTATAGTGGTTCAACAATGATTTGGTGAAATATATAAAATATATAACAATCAAATATAAGTTATTTTTTCCATTTCAGCTCTAAATATCTTCTCTTGTTTTTAGGCCTACGATGTATTTACTGGCGCAACAGTGACGGGTCTGAATGCCACCACAGAGTTTACCTTCTCCATCAACCCCTCAGGTGTAGTCATGTGGTACGTGTACCCCAAAAAAGCATCCAAACAGACGAAGATGCTCAGGAAAACCTCAAAACTCACATGGCAAAAAACTGTACCGAGGAATAGGATTGTGTTATGAAGTAACTGCTGTAAATGCTAATGCTAATCTCAAATTGTATGGAATAATTGGAATGTTGAAAGTCTCAAACAAAACATTGTCAGCTTAATTTGGTTTATGGAATAGATATTCTGCGGCACTGATTTTAATGACACCAAACAAAATCATTTTCAATTCTGTCATATTTTTGTATTGTTTAGAAGTGCCTTTTTCTTCAATTGAATAAACATGTACTCATTTTTGTCGTTGTTGGTGATATTTCTAACAGGAAGTAGCCTCAAGTAGTTTTTATTTTTATTTAGATAAACTGTGACACTACCAGGTTGCCTAAACAAACAGATTTGATGATTTATATAAAAATGCACATTTATTATAATTTTTTCATTGTTGCTGGACACAAATTAGGTGTACAAATGTTCATATGTAATTAAGAAAAATGTAATAATACTGTAAATATAGCAAAACAAGAGGCGGATACACATCCTGACCAGTGATGTCTTTTATGTCAGTACAGACATTTTTCAAGTTTTAACATGGTAGTTTTATATCACCGTCTCTAAGCTGCGTATCCTGCTCTGCAGCCCCAGCTGGGCTCCTGGGGCTCTCCGTGCCCTGGGATCGGCAGAGGAAGTGGTCCATGTCCGCCCACGTCTTTCCCACACAGACCCTTTTTAGTCCGCCTGGGGTCAGTGTGGGTCAGCGCCTTTCTGCCGGCTGCTATCACTCACGGATGAATCCACAGAGAATGACACCAAATGTTCTGAGAATAATACACATGTCCTTCAGATGTATGTGCTCGTACACAGTAAAGTAAGCAAGTCTAGAGCCTTTTTGCTTTGTAGATTGCTGGACACCAAAAATGGAGGTCTCCGATCAGAAGGTTGTGGGTTCTATCCAGTGGCGTAACTATCAACGGTGCAGCCGTAGCAACGCACCGGGGCCCAGAGCCGGCCAGGGGCCCATGCAACAAAAAAATAAATTATATTTAAAATATTTATTTATTTAAAAAGAAATGTTGGGGCCCCAATGGCATTGACCGGTTCACGCAGTCTTCAAAGTAACCAAGCAACCTAAATTAATTTGTAATTTGTCTGTCCAATGACCTTGCTCCCTTTCATGCAGGGCCTTGGCGTTATAGATGTTCGCCAAGGGTGCCAGATCTGGGGGGGCGCTGCGCTGGCAGCTCTGGGAGGGGGAAAAACATTTTTGACCGTTGGTGCTCATCCTAATTTTCAGCCTTAATGTAACAACATACATAATTAAGTAAATGTAACACCCTTTTCACCCCGGTTACACTTTTAATTTGGCCTGTACGATGGGCGCTGTAAGTGATGAAAGTGGGGAATGTTGGCTTATGTTGGGTGCTAGTGGATCGCCGGAGCTGTAGATTAACATAAACATGCTTATTGTAGTTGTAAGTGCACTGCCTGTAGCACCATGGAGCATATGTGTGGGCTGGACCTGTATTTTACAGGAAAGGAGTGAGCAGAGGGTCGAGTTGTCGTTTCTTGTTCCGTTTTCTGTGACTATCTGCTTCACCCTCTCAGACATTCAGTTGCACGCACTACTAAAGAGACGCACTACCATGGAAACCAAACAATGGTGTAGCTGTATTAAAGTCCGAGTGGAAACAGTTCTGGGTAAATCTGATTGTGTCAGAAATCGGGAGAAATGCGGGAGACATATAACCCCGGAAGGAAACCGGGAGAGGGCAGTGAAATTGGGAGTCTCCCGCAAAAATCGGGAGGGTTGGCAAGTATGTGTATAGGCCTACTCAGCGCCAAATAGAGAGAGAGTTACAACAGCGGAGGTCCAAAATGCTTGATCGTCACGTGGTTCAGAGAGACTCAGAAAGTTCCGGATGTTCGTGGCGGGCCATGTGAATCACGATTTGAATGCATTAATACCAGGATAGAAATGCAATTTTTGGTAATTAGCAGTGCTTGAATTGGGCCGGTACTCACCGGTACGCAGTACCGGCACTTCTGATTTTTACCCATGTGGTACCGGCACTTCTTACTGAGTACCGGCAAGGTGCCGGTACTCAGTAAAATGCTTGTACTTACACGTATGTATTGTGAACGCAACGCTGCGCAAATGTGGGTCTGACTCTGCCTCACAGAGGGTGACTGGCTGTCTACATGATGTGGCCTGCCGACATGGACACTTTCATACAGATCATACTAATGCCGTCGATTGGTCTCTGTGTATCATTCAAGCTCGGGAGGGTGTGTGTTAGTGTATGTGTGGCGCAAGCAAGCGAGAAAGCGCGCGCACCGGTTACGTGTATTGTTGTTAGCATCTGATGCTACTAGGGCCGTGGGAAGTAGGGGTGCTGAGGGTGCTGCAGCACCCCCTGGTGGAGGACAGGGGATCTGCACTTCCACAAGATTACATTTTAAAAAAAAATGAATTTTCAGCCTTGATGTAACAACATTCATAATTAAGTAAAGATAACACCCTTTTCACCCCGGTTGCATTTTCCATTTGCCCTGTACGATGGGCGCTGTAAGTGATGAAAGTGGGGGATGTTGGCTTATCAGGCGCCCGCAGCTCACAGCCAGCGTGAGAGAGAGAGAGATAGATAGAGAGAGGGGGTGCACCGGTACCGGCGGGGAATGTTGTTAGCTTCTGCTGCGCTAACGGATATAAGAAGCTGTTTCTACAACCAGGGTGGAGGAGAGCTCTCCTGTCAGACTGAGAGGCACAGTGAGGTAAAGGACTCTGAGTGTTTAGATATAGTTAACTTAGTCTAAGTTGTCTCAGTGGGTCTCAAACGGTTCGGTCACCATTTATGTAAACACATATTTCCTTTT